TGCTCGTGCGACGCGCCACGTGACGGCGTGCCGGGACAACGAAGACGGCATCCTCATCCCGCCGCCGTCCCAAAAGAACATTGAGAGGGTCCTCGACTGGTTCGTCCTTCTCCGCCACGCCACGAGAGCCACTACAGCGATCAGCCAAATGGAGGTCGACCGCGCGTGGTTCAACCCGTACATGGCCGGCCAAATTCTTCTTACGATCACGATGGAGGTCGGCTTGTCCTTGGGCTTGACGACGATCGACAACATTGGTCAAGCGCGGTTTGTACTCCATTTTTACAACGCGCTCCGAGTCCTCGACAAGATCCCACCGAACTCAGACCTTGACAACTTGGCGACCATGTTTGAGCGCGGCAAGTCGGTGTGGGTTGGTGGCCGTCCGACGGCCCGCGGCAGCTTTGTGAGATCGTATTTGCTCGCGTGGGGCTATGACACAAAGACGTCGGCCGCCCTCGGGGCCAACCTCGGGAGTGACTTGCAAGACTACAAGGCCAAGGCTGCACTGCGGGATCGCATGGACCACCGCAGCGTGGCTAAAAAGATGGCGTACCGCGTCCAGGAGTGCATGCGCAAGATGCTCTTGACCGAGCCCGATGCCGTCAGCAAAGCCTATCGCTACGTGACGCACATGACGGCGCCTGCCTACGATGCGAATACGTGCCTCGTCCGGTCCTTTGACATTATCGATGTGCTCCAGAGCGACTATGACGCGTTTTTGTACCTCGACTTCAATCGAATCAGCCAGATCTTCCGCTGTGCGTGGCGGGACATGATCGAGGCCTTTGACTTTCGAGGCTACGTCGTCAACGGCAACTCTGTCACGTGCATTCAAGGCCCGCGGCCCGTGAGAGACGCCCTGCCTCGCCTTCGCGATGAAACCTTGTTTCTCCAGTCGCTCCTCGGGCTCTGCGACCGCGAGCCAAACGACGATCGTGTCGCGTTGGCCGCCGAGATATTGACGACCGTCGCCAACTCGATGCATGAAGCGTACATTGAGACGCCTCTCGTTTTGCAGCATAGCACCAAGTAGGTGTCTATGGCCTAGTATGCATATGGACGAGAATGTCGGAATGAAAATAGTAATCTAATGTACTTTGGTCGACGCTGAGGAGTTCTAGCCCATCTTTGTACAAGGTGAAACAACAGCTCAAAATACTACTCTGTGCATGCGCCAGCTCCAGGCAAGTCGGTCTCGGTCGATGGTCGCCGAGCAGACCGTGGCGACTTTGTCAAAGTATATGTTTGCTGACGTGGGGGTGCAACGCCCCGACGGCGGCCATTGCGGCCAACTTGCTCCGTGACAAGGAGGCTCGCTTTGCAAAGGCCACGCACCACGATCGGATGGACCAGCGCGGCCTCAAAGGCATTGACGCCTCGCTATTTTTCTC